CTCAAACTCATCTTCTTTATTCTCCAATGGTCAAACACTCCCCCCAAACCTAAAATTCAGGTCATTAATCTCATAGCTAGCTTCCCTCTAAACCCAAAATATAGGAGAGAAATGTATACTCTAGAGGCAACAAGGTAACTTGAGTTGTTGGGTTAAACATTAACTCAACTAGAGTTAAAGAAGTTAACAATTTTTCTAACAAAAAGACTATATGCCAAGAAAGTTGAAGATTTAAGGGAGTAATAAGCAAATAATGAGATCTAAGGGACCATTTAGAAATTAGAGATAATTAAGGGACTAATATGCAATTAACCCTTTTTACTATTTAGGTTTTCTTGGATATTAGTATTGTTGATGTTAAGTGATCACACAGTCAATTATATCCGTGGTTGGATGGGGGTGAGATTGATGAAGGGTTGCTTCCTTCCTCAAATATCCGATTTTGAGTTGAGTGGCTAAAGTCTGCATAGATAGAAGCTCGTGAGAGGACCGAGACTGGTTCCCCCGTGGTTTCTCTGAGGTTAAGTCAGCTGGTGAACTTGAGTGGGGAAAGTGAAGAACTGTGAGTTATGTTGATTATCATATCTCCATGATATTATTTTGATGATAACAATTTACACAATGTGTGTTATACAAATGCACTAACTCTTATATGCAGCTTTCAATATCAAAATATAAACAAGTGCAAGTTGAGATTCAAGGCATTATGAAGTGAAGAAGATGAAGAACATATCAAAATATAAACAAGTGCAAGTTGAGATTCAAGGCATTATGAAGTGAAGAAGATGAAGAACATATGGGATAATATATTTTATATTTTCTTTACTTAGAATTATTGTACAAGCCTTGATCACTTACACACACACACACATAAATATTAGAACACACTAACACAGGCTTAGTGTGTTGGTTAACTATAGAAATCACCTATGTTAACCATTAGAGTTATAGTTAAAAATTGGAGTGTCAAAACATTTAATTTATATCATTTTCTAACTTTTAGTAGTCGACTATTAGAATAGTAGTCGAGTACTCATGTATATGTCTTAAATATATGTTTCTGTCAATTTACAATATAGTCGACTAATATGGATAATAGTATATGTTTCTGTCAATTTACAATATAGTCGACTAATATGGATAATAGTCGACTACTCAAGTTTATGACAGAAACATAAGTTTCTGTTATTTTACAGTATAGTCGACTAATTAACATTATAGTCGACTACTGAAGACAAAATTCATTTTCCAAGTTTCTGTCAAATTACAGTATAGTCGACTAATGAACTTTATAGTCTACTACTGAGAAATTTTCTAAATTCACAGAGTCTGTTTAAACTCAGTGTAGTCGACTAATCTGTCTTGTAGTCGATTACAGATATAGTTTTTCCAGAATTTAAAGTTTGAATATATGACTGTTTATAGCCATTTTTAAATGTTTTTAAAGTTCAAAAAACTTGTCTTTTCAAGGGCTATAAATAGGTTATTTGTTCAGAAAAAATGTAGAGACTTACATACCCATAAGCTTTGATCTTTGTGCATTTTTTTCAAGTGAAAAATATTCAGATTTTGAGAAAAAGAAAAGTTTCTGAAATTGCCTTTGAACATCATTCAAATACTTATTGTTTAGGTAATTTACAGAAGTTAGAATCATTCCTAAGCCACTACTACACTACACTACAAATCAAGGCTTATAGGAATTAAAATTGTTGCTTCAAAAGTTTCTCTCGATTTGTGAGAGGTGTTAATCTCTTGGTTTAGAGATTGGTGTGCAAATTGGCAAGGTGTTTGTCAATTGGTGTTGCAATTTGCAGGGACTTACAAATTGACTTACAAATTGGTCAGGTTTGCTTTTTGATTTTGTAAGTTTATTCAAAATCATAGTGGAAACTCTCAAGTGGGATTTGCTTGGGAACTGGATGTACACCGGATTGGTGGAACCAGTATAAATCTTTGTGTTTGTGTTTGTAAATTTCTGAGATTGCTATTTTTCCTTGCAATTTATAATCTACTTTACATAAATTTTAAAAGAATACTATTCACCCCCCTCTAGTGTTCTGTGTCGTCTATTTCAGATCCTACATTTGGTATCAGAGCAAGGTGAAAGATGGCATATACAAATACATCACAATTCAAAGAAGGTCACTCTACAAATCGTCCATCAATGTTCGATGGATTGAACTACAATTATTGGAAGTGCTGAATGAAGATTTACCTTCAATCTATTGGCTATGAACTTTGGAACGTTGTGAAAACAAAATATGAGAAGCCAACAACTCCTTTCTCAGAATGGACTACATCTCAAAGAAACAATGCAAATTTAGACTCCAAAGCCATGAATACACTATTCTGTGCACTTGACAAGAATGAGTTCAATAGGGTGTCAACGGCCTCATCTGCATATGATATTTGGCATACACTTGAGGTAACTCATGAAGGTACAAATAAAGTTAAAGAATCTAAAATTTTTGTTCTTGTACACAGATTCGAATTATTTAAGATGAAGGAAAATAAGACTATTGGAGAAATGTTCACAAGATTCACCGACATCACAAATTCACTCATTGGTCTTGGAAAAACAGACACACAAGTGGAGATGGTAAGAAAAATACTTCGATCACTTACTCCACAATGGGAAAAGAAAGTTACCGCAATCGAAGAAGCCAATGATTTGTCAACTCTTACGGTTGAAAATCTTATCGGAAATCTTATGGCGTTTGAAGTTCAAATTGAAGATAGAAAGAATGATGAAGAAACAAAGAACAAGAAAGTACTTGCATTCAATACTACTTCCGATAAAGAAGATTCAGATGATGATGATGAAGAAATGGGCATGTTTGCACGAAAATTTCGAAAATTTATAAAATGAGGTAATTTTAAATCTAAGAGTTCAATTAATGGGCATGTTTGCACGAAAATTTCGAAAATTTATAAAATGAGGTAATTTTAAATCTAAGAGTTCAATTACAAATAACCCTCTTTGTTTTAAGTGTAATAAACCAGGTCATATGAAGAAAGATTGTCCAATGATGAAGAATAAGCAAAAATTAAGTTATTTCAATAACTTCAACAACATTCAAAATAACAAGAAAAGGAAAGCAATGGCAGTCACTTGGGATGATAGTGATGAGTCATCTTCAGATGAGAATATTGAAGAAAAGGAAAATGCTCACATGTGTTTTATGGCACAAGATGAAGTAAGTGACAATGAAGAACTTTTAGATGCTTTCAATGAATTATATGAAACTTTTGTGAGATTAAAGACTTCACATAATTTTCTTAAAGGTGAAAATAAAAGATTACTTGAAGAAATTTCTGATTCCTCTACTAATTCTAATTCTCAAGTAATTGAATTGAAAGAAGAAAATTATTCTTTGCTTAAAGAAAATGAAAGTTTATCTAAAGAAAATATTTATTTAAAATCTGAATGTAATGAGTTAAAAATTCGTATTAATAGTTTAGATAAAGATATTTCTTCTTTTAAATCAAAATATGAGGATATATGTTTGAATGTAAGCAAATTCAATAAAGGTAAAGAAAATCTTAATAATATACTTTCTTTTCAAAAAGAATCACAAAAGACAAAATGATTAGGTTTTCTATTTAATAAAAATAAATCAAAGAAAATTTTTTTTGTAAAACCTTCTTGTGATTTGTATGAATATAAAAATGAAAATTTGTGTAAAAAGAAATCAAAATTCTTTTCTATTTGGGTTCCAAAAGAATTATCTTCTTTACATAAGAATTTTTATATTTCTGATTTTATTAAAATATTTGTTTATCAACTAACTATTTAGGCAAATCAAACTCTTCATGGGTTTGGTTTCCTAAAGGCTAATTTAAATGACCCAACGTAGTATGGGTACTAAAAATGTAAATATTCATTATTTTAGGTACCCAAGAAAGATAGGTGGATTTTGGATAGTGGTTACTCCAAACATATGACTGAAAACATATAATTGTTGTCATCTTTTCAAAACAAGGATGGTGGTACTGTTACTTTTGGAGATAACAATAAAGAAAAAGTCATCAGTATTAGATCTGTCGGTAATCCAAACAAACCTATTATTGATAATGTTCTATTAGTTGATGGTCTTAAACATAATTTACTTAGTATTAGTTAACTTTGTGATAAAGGTTTTTAAATTGTTTTTGAAAAAGAATCTTGCTTAATTTATGATATTGATTTAATTACTATTATTTTTAAAGGACATAGAAAGAATAACATATATGTTTTATCTATGAAAAATATTTCAAATGAACATTGTCTTATTGCATCATCTAATGATTCTATTTTATGGCATAAACGTTTTGGACATGTTAACTTTAAACACATTTCTAAAATTTTTAAAAATGATTCAGTAAATGGTTTACCTAAAATGTCTTCTAAAAACAATTTTTGTGATGCTTGTCAACAAGGAAAAATGCACAAATCTTCTTTCAAATCTAAAAATATAATATCTACAAGTAGACCACTAGATATAATTCACATAGATCTTTTTAGTCCGTCTAGAGTAGCATCTTTAAATGGAAGTAGATATGTATTTGTTCTTGTTGATGATTATTCTAGATTCACACTTTAAATGGAAGTAGATATGTATTTGTTCTTGTTGATGATTATTCTAGATTCACATGGGTAATTTTTTTTAAACATAAAAATGATGCTTTTCTTGTTGATGATTATTCTAGATTCACATGGGTAATTTTTTTTAAACATAAAAATGATGCTTTTAATGAGCTTTCTATATTTTGCAAAAGAATTCAAAACCAAAAATCTACTTCTATTATCTCTATACG